CACTGGTGGAGCCTCTTCTAACTGGTTCAGTAGATTTGACGAACCTTTTCTACCGAATAGGTGTGAACTGGTAGGAACCCACCTCTGGTTAGGACCATTCATTCAGTGACTATTCAAAGTTATGACAGCACTGAATGAGAAGGACTTACGACCAGTCCTTAGAGTGCTGATCATTGAAATGTTCTGAGGTCATGGGTTCATGATCTAGGTGCTTGGTGCCCAGCTAATGATTACGACATCACAGTGAGCTGTCATGATTGCAATTTCTGACATTTCTTGCTGGTCCTTGCAAGCAAAATCAATGGGAAAGCAAGCAGTAAGTTTGAAGTTTTGGTCACATGAGGTCCTCATTTAAATTCACATGGAGTCCTCACTGAATAACAGCAACTGGGACTATTAGACCTGCCATCAACAAGCTACATGGTCATGTGACACTGTTATTTATGACATTGATTATCAACCTCAATTCCAGCCCTAATTGCTATTATTGAATGCTGATGATATTAAATTGTACTGAGGACATGCACGCACTCCTTAGCCAGGGAGAAAAGCTGCAGTAGTGTGAGTGATTTACAGGAACATCTTGTGATATTTCCTTGCCAGCTTCCCCACTGACTTTGTGAAATCAGCAAGGAAGATCACAAATGGCCATTACCTGACTACGAAATACTGCAGCTGTCATAAGTGTCTTCCAGTAGCCAAGTATCTAGATTGTGATCTGTGGGGTGCTAGGAGACTGTGAGTTCTAGCCTCGCCTAAGACATGGAAGCCAGTTGAGTCATTTTGGGCCAGTCACTCTCTTTCAGCCCAATCTGTCTCACAGATCTATTGTTGTGGAGAAAATAGAAACAAAAGTATTATTTAATTATTATTTAAATTATTATTATTATTATTATTATTTATCTAAAGTAAAAACAGTGGAATAAAATCTGGGATGAAATCAACTTACCTTTGCTACTGGTTCACAAATGTGACCATGTGCCTTCCACACATGCGCAGAGCGTAAAAAATGGGATGTGATGATGTCCGGGCGGATGGGCGGAGTCTCCCACCACACCGCTACCAGTTCACCCGAACCGGATAGAACCGGCTGAATTTCACCACTGGATAAAATCCAATAAATAAAAGAATTTCAGAAATAATTGCTGAACAAGTGGTAGTTAATTAACAACTACCTGTCCTGTGGTATCTATTTTTGATGTTATTGCTTTTGGTTCCTAATTACGTTTTCCATCAAGAGTCTCAAACTGTAAGTGGAAGACCTTCAAAATTCTGTAAAAAAAAAAAAAAGGTGCTGCTTTTTTTTCCTTTTTGAATATCTATCCTAATGGTTGACATAAATATCCTCCATTGTTTATCCAGGCCCTTCAATTCCTGTTGGAGTTGATGTACAAGTTGAAAGTCTTGACAGCATTTCAGAGGTTGATATGGTAAGTATCCATTTTATGATTCAAAATGTAAATGGATAGTTAGAATATTATTCATTTTGTTGTTTATGAATATTATATACCCCGGGATTCCCTGGACTCTTAAGACATTTATTGAGATCAGCATTGTCTAGAGTTATTTTTGCACATTCATATGTACATTTACAAAAGTATTTCAGATAGGGTCTCCTGTATCATAAATTTATCCCAGTCCCATAAATGCTCATGAAATTCAATATAAAGTTAGCAATATTGGACCCAGAAGTATGCTCTTAGGGTGTCACCCTAAAGCTTTATGCAATTCCCTAAAGTTTCATACAATTGTAATTATTAATAGCAAAGAAGAGGTTAATTATTATAAACATGGCTGGATAATAGTTGTATCAACAATATTTAATTTTCAATAAATATAAATAAAATGGAATCCAACAGGTGTTGTTTGAACCAAATGCTTTTTGCAATGCCATTCAAATGCCACTCATAAACATTGGCTGAACATGAACATAATAGAAAATATTCATAAGTATTATACTCCTTTGAGCACATTTATAAACAGGGGAACTCCCACCAGAACTTCCTAGGAGCTGCTAAGTGTCACTTAGGAGCGCTAATTCTGCTTCCATGCAGGGGATGTATTTATTGTAGGGTTAATGTAAGATAATGCAGATGTTGAAACTTGCATTATCAAAGTGGCTTCTGTTTTAGTTTTACTCATTTAATGATTTTTATGTTTTTTTTAAAATTACAAATAATTACCATTCAATCAAATATTTTAAGAGAATTTTTCTCATTTTAAGGTAGATGAGAATATTTAAAACTTTTTTTCTGTTTACTCCATTAATTGCTTAAACAAGTTTTTAGTATTTTTAGTATTTGCCACATGTGATTAAACAATATTTAGCGGGGAAAAGGTAAGATTGGAAGTGAATATGTCTTTTTTCCATTTAAAAAAAAATCTTAATTAGGATTTCACCATGACGCTTTACCTGAGACACTACTGGAAAGATGAAAGATTGTCATTTCCAAGTACCAATAACCAAAGTATGACTTTTGATGGCAGACTTGTGAAAAAGATCTGGGTGCCTGACATGTTCTTTGTCCATTCAAAGCGTTCCTTTATCCATGACACAACAACAGATAATGTCATGCTTCGAGTACAACCAGATGGGCAAGTACTTTACAGCTTGAGGTAAGATGTGGTCATAATAATAATTGGTCAAAGAAGCAGAAGAAACAGTAAATCATATACTCAGCTCATGCAAGAAGATTAAACACATTGATAATAAACAATGACATAGTAGCAGTTGCCAAAATGATTCAGTGGAACATCTGTTAAAATTATCATCTGTCAGTAAAGAAAATTGGTGGGAACATTGTAGTTGAAAAGGTAAAAAATGAGCTAGTTAAAATAATGTGGGATTTCTGAATTCAAACTGATAAAATCTTGGTACATAACACACCAGATTTAACTATGGTTGAAAGGAAGAAAATGTAGATAATTGATGTATCAAGACCAGAGGATAATAGAATAGAAGTCAAAGAACTGAGAAGATCATAAACTATCAAGATATGAAAAATGAAGCTCAACATTTATGGCATAAACCAGTAGTGGTGGTCCCAATGGCTACTGGCACATTGGATGCCATATCAAAATATCTTGGATATCATTTAGAAAATACGCTCATTGACAAAATTTCCATCCAATGATTACAAAAGGCCACATCTCTTGAATCGGCACATTTACTGCACTGATACATTACAACATCCTAGACTCTTGGGAAGAACTCAATGTATACAAAGACCAACATCAACTAAAGAAATGACAAGTATGATTTCACATTCTTGTGTATACAATCATAATTTAAACTTGTATGCTAACTGACGCTCAGTTACTGTTAATAGATTACAACAATCAAAAAAATTATAATCAAATTAATTTATTAAAAATTATCATTCAAATTGCTGCTGTTATAAATTTAAAAATATTGATAAAATGGGATTTTGAAGGTTGTATGCTGAAGGGGGTAAGAAGCAATTAACAATTATAATTAAAGGAAAACACTTAAATGTGGCTTGCTAACACAGCATGGAGCAAAATGCTTTAACATTTGACATATTGAACAATGGACTCAGAAGTTAATTTTAAGAATATCTACCATCATAGATAGAGTATGTGTAAATAAAGTTATGAAAAAGGATCGAGTTCTACTGGACAAGACTGAAATTTGAATTGGATTTAAAAAAGACTGGCTACAAAAATGTTCCAGAAAAAGACGATATACTGTACTAGCTGTATGAATGAAACTGGCTGATGTTTTAATACTTAAAAGGGACATACAAATAACAAACCAGAAGAGTGACTTGGATAATTTTCCTATATTGGGTTTAGAAAGCAGGTCTGTTGAAGCATTGGAAGACTTTGTAGAAAGGAACAAAGGAAAAAGGAAATCAAATCAAGTTATGGGACATTATTTGAAGGAACTAAGGATCAAGGTTGTTAAATATAAAGGGAAGGAATATAAAAGTGGTTTATTTGATCATAGTTAAAATTGATATTGTTATTTATGGCAACCATTAATGGACTTTTGCTGTCCAGGACTGGATGACAAGGTTTTAAGGATATGTTTATAGGTAAGAGATGAAATATTGGATGAGGAGTATTATGCCTTATGGGAAGATGATAAATTGTTAAATTATTTCTATTTGTTGTGATGAAGGGGAAGTTCTTTAATTATTTCTTTTCTCCTTGTATTCTCCCCCCCACATTTTTTATTCTCTTTTTCTTTTTTCTGCACTCTTATCTTTTATTTTTATTCTTGAATTTTTTGTAGTTTCTACTAGTTTTTATTTATATAATTATAATTCTTAATAATTTTTTTTTTAAAGAAAGTGCTATAGATGAGATCGCCTGACGGCATAGGGTGAGGTAGAGCTCTAGATCCCTCAGGCCAATCAAATGATGCTGTGTATGTTCTTTCTCAAGATGTGGTGGCTGTGGATTTCAAGGGCCCATGTTTTTCCATCCTTGGTTATGAACGATGTTGCAGTCTTATGAAGAGAATTGGTATGCAGTCCAGGGATCCTCCTGGACTCGTGACTTCTTTTTAAAGATTAATTAGTAGTTGTGGCTGGAAAGGCTTTTGCATTTTCACTTTGTGAGCCAGTTGCTTCCTCTATTGGCATTGTTCATGGTCACTCATACCTTAGCATGAAGGTAATAATCTGAAGCAGATTATTACCATGTGTTCTAAATGTGGCTGCCTTTGAAGATCATCTGGTTCAAATGTGGTGCCACTGTGCATCTTGGCACACCTCATCCATGTTACACCTCTGCCCTGTAAGCTGCATATCTTTACTCAGGAGCAAGTTCCATTACTTAATTTGAGTTTACTCAATATTTATACTACTACTGTGGATATTGCAGTTCTGGGCGTACATCTTATTGAAAATAATGGAAATTACTATAACCAAGCATGAACAGAATGGCACTTATTATGCAGCACCCCATTAAAACTTGTTAAAAATGGAATGTGAATCTAACCTGTGTTACTCCTCTTTTCTTCTCCCATTTCTCATTTCAACACATTAAATATACTTACTGTGTTCTTAGGGTCACTGTAACAGCAATGTGTAACATGGATTTCAGTCGTTTTCCCCTTGACACGCAGACATGTTCTCTGGAAATTGAAAGCTGTAAGTAAATAAGTACTTAAAAACTACATATTGATTTCTTAAAACTGACTTCTAAGTATGCTTGCATGTTATTTTCCCAAAGATGTTCTAATATTGTAATTGATGTTGTTTGCAGATTCGGTCTCCTTCTTCTTAGTCCCTAAGGATCTGTGTCTAGACTGAGTTAGCTATTTCACATAAAATTGACCAACTCTGGGAGCTGTCCAATGGTAGCTGTTCAATTTCAGTGGTAGCTGTGCAATTTCACATTTAGAAAATGTGTCCAGCTTTTTGTTATGCCGCTGTCAATGATATTGAAGGGGTGTAACTTGCCCCTCATGATTAAGAGTGTTGACTGGACTACAATTGCATTGGGAAGAACTGCTAGCATATTCGTAATAACAAAAACTAAATTATGATGTATATAAAACAGATTGAAGGTTGAAATATAAGACATTACTCTATGGGTACCAGGCTGCTGAGGACTGGATCAAGCTCTGTGCTGTATGTTACCTGGATTCATTGCCATAAATATTTCCTTCCTCTGTAGATGCTTATACTGAAGATGATCTCATGCTGTACTGGAAGAATGGGAACGAATCCTTGAAAACAGATGATAGAATATCATTATCTCAGTTCCTTATACAAGAGTTCCACACCACCACCAAACTCGCTTTTTATAGCAGCACAGGTAGGTTTGCTTGGATCGCAAAGCATATTTCTTCATACTTTTACAATGGGAATTAATTTGTTTTCTTTCCTACAAAAGCTCAGCAGATAAATCCCAAACGCAGGCTTGAATTGCACATGTCTATCTGCAGCATTATAACCTGGTGTTCGTTGGATTCGTAACAGGGGGAGGAAGAAGTCCTGTCTCTCTGTTATGAATACCCACACCACCTGGCCTCTCTTTGGGATCTTCACCCTCTGGAGGTGTTCCCCTACCACCCCCAGAAAGAGTGCCACCAGAGGTGGGTTCCTACTGGTTCAGACCGGTTCAGCCAAATAGGTAGTAACTTGGCGGTCTGGGTCTCTGGAAACGATAGCAACCCAGGTCTGCCATGCCCCCGAACTGGTTCTCCTATGGCACCGCCATCTTGATTTTTGGTTCTGCAGAACAATATTCATTGGAGAAATGTATTTTTCCCTTTTTTAATCTTTTATGCATGCTCAGACATTTTTTGACACAAATGCGCACGCGTGCCACATTTTTTGTGCGCTGAACCCCTCCCCCAAGTGCCATCTCTACTTAAACAGGCAGGTGTATGTTTGACACAACATTATACATATTTTAAAATTCATCAGGTATTAAATTTCAACCATACATTATTTCATAAAAAATCTCTTTCAAGTTATAATTCAATGTAAATTTCAATCCTTACTCCACATATCATTTTTCATTTCATTTCATTTTCATTTTAATTTATTTGTATGCCGCCCTTTTCCCTAAGGGGACTCAGGGCGGCTCACAACTCAAAGGGAGGGAGAAACAAACAAAGTTACAAAAAACATAGAACCATACATAGTTAAAAAAGCACAACAATCATACCATTCGAAGTGGGACAGCGAGTCTTTAGCCCCAGGCCTTGATCAAGCATTATGTTATATCCAAAGTTTTTTGCTCATTTAATCATACATTTTTGGACATAATAATCTTCTATATTCATTTTCAATAATACATCTTAACAATAACATGGCCAGGGTTAGTATATAAATCCACTTCAACTTCAGATTATTCATTCATAAAATTCTTTTTTATCCAGTTTAAATCTGTCAACTGAGCATAAGCAAACTATTGTTAAATATAACCATCATTTTCCAGTTCTTTTCTGGAAAGATTTAATTTAGTATAGGTTCTATTTCAGAATAAGTCAATAAATCAGAATAGGTCAACTAAGTTTGTGTAACTATCACTTCTCTTCTAAGAAAGGTTTCTTGGGGTGACATACATAGAGGAATTTTTGGAGTCAGTCTTATTTTATACCTAACCCGAGCTCTCAATATGGGGCATCTAGCAAAATTATCTTTAAAATCTATATTAACCTCAACTTTATCATACCATAAATAGATGTACCACCCAAATTTCAAATCATGTTCTTCTAACTCCAGTAAACTCTTATTCCTCAATCACCCAATCTTTCATCCATACCAAACAACAAACAGCAAAATACAAATTCAAATCAGGTAATCCCACTTTATTTAGTATCTTTGATTCTTGTTTTTAAATATATTTGACACTTGTTTTTTTGCACGGCTGTGCAAAGTCCATACTGCCCAAAACTTTAAACATAAGTGTCCAATTCAAATTGTCAAAAGCTTTCTCTGTATCTGCAAAAATCAAGGCCACTTGCTTCTAATTTTGCTGTAGAAAATGCTGTATTACATCCAATCCATTTCTCATGTGATTTCTTAATTATCTTTTGGATAAAAATCTATATTGATGAGCATGAATGAAATCCTGTAAAAAAATTAGTATCAGCCAATATTATTACAAATATTTAACAACCGTTATTCAGCAACTACATCAGTTTATAATTCTTTGTTGCGGTGAGACAGTGTCCTTCCTTTGGCAATATCGGTTCTTTCCAGGATTCTGGCATAGCAGATTGGAATTCATCACACCATCACAGAGGTATAAAAGTTGATCATCAAAGCATTTATAATATGAGTTCACAAATTATCCAGACCTGATGCTTTCCCACTTTTAATCTTTTTTTTAATAGCTTTTGATGTTTCAAACTTTGTTCATAATTTGGTGTTGGGGTCGTGAAAGTTTTGGTAGACTGTTTTTTCAATGAATATTGACATTATCTGTTAGTACTGTGATGGCGAACCTATGGCACACGTGCCACAGGTGACACCCAGAGCCCTCTCTGTGGGCAGATGAGCCGTTGCCGAGCTCAGCTCCACTGTGCATGCACGCGTGCCTCTCGGCAACAACTGATTTTTGGGTCCCTGCCATGCATGCACAGGGGATGGGGCACATGTGGGAGAATCACACACATGAATGGGGGGCCACGTGTGCATGTGTAGGGGGGAGGGGGGAATGTGGGGCGAGTATGTGGGGTTGCACCCCCATGGCCCATTTTTCCTCTCAGGAGGCTGCAGGGAGGTCTACTAGGCCCAAAACAGTGGGGGGGGGAATGCAGCACCCCCCAACCCACGACCCAATTTTGCTCCCAGGAGATTGCAGAGGGGCCTACTAGGTCCAAAATTGGGTGGGGTGTGGGGTCACGGATGCATGCTCAGGGGCGTGGGGGGGGTGCAGGGGTCATGTTCACATGCACAGGGGACGGGGTATGCGGGTGTGGTTGTGTGCACAACAACAAAATTTTAGCCATCACTGTTTTAGTACAATCTTGCCTTTCTGGATCTTTAATATTGTTTTCTTTTCTCTCTCCTTTCTCAATTCATATGCCAACCATTTCCCTGGTTTATCTGCAAATTCAAAGTTCTTCTATTTCATATAGTTTAGTTAGGACTCTATTTCTCTTATAATTATTACAGATAATTGTGGAAGTAAGAATTTAATTTGATATAAAATAACAGAGTCTATTTATACTTTCTGTAAATCCTCCTGTTTTTTAAAAATTTCTTTTGTTTCTAGGGATTTCTTTGTTTAGTTTATGACTATATTGAATGAAATAATTTCTCATTACAGCTTCACTGGCATTCAAGACAGTCATTAAATCCAAATTATAATTTAAAAAATAATTTAACTTCTTTTTACAGTTTTCACAATTCTTTTTTTTTGTAATAGTACTTCATTTAATCTCCATCTAAAATTTGTAAATTTTTCTCTTGAATGTTAAGATTACTGGATTATGATCAGAAAAACTTCTAGGAAAAATATCTACCATAACTATCTAATTAGCCAATTTTTTGAAACTCATATGATTTCAATTCTTGAGAAAGTTCTAGGCTTTTCTGGAAAAAAAAAGGTATTATCTAGAATTTCCATTCTTTTACTTTCAAGAATCTGTTTTTGCCAAATTGCCCATCAGGCCAAAAAAGGACTTTTGTAACATTATTTTACAGGTTTTACTAAGAAAGAATATTTGAGGTATATAATCTAAGAAGATTATGTGACTTAAATATTCACAAATAAAAGATTTCCTTGGCAAGATTAATGTTGCATTCAAGAATCGCTTTATAATTGTTCATCAGTTCGTAAAAGTGGTGTGCTGAAAGATATAATAACTTGGTAAAATGACAACCCAGATTTTTGGGGGCAATATGCTGACTCTGTAAACCACTTAGAGTGCGCTGTAAAGCACTGTGAAGCGGTATATAATTCTGGGTGCTATTGCTGTTGTCTGAAGAAATGTTTCAGTCTTATGAATTCTAAAAATGTTCACAAAGAAAGGCTAGAGAGAAGAAGGAACAGAAGTCATTCTTGTACAAATAGAACTGTTAATGGAACTTAGTAGGAGTAGGGCATTTCTATTTGTCAAAATGTCACCTTCCACCTGTTCCAGTGTGAGTGAGGGTATTTTGACAGCAGGAAGTGTCAAACCAATCGCAACATTTGCTTCACAGAAATAGAGAATGTGGAGACTTTTTGTGTCTCTTTCATCATGATGGGAGAAATTCGGAAAGAAAAAACCCAGATCTATTTACAGCAGACTATTTGATTTCATTAAACTTGGGTAAACCTGTCTGTTTTGCTCAATTTTTAAAAAAATATCTAAACTGAATCCACAGGAATTCTAAATATTATTTGCATGTTTGCATTATTAAAGTGAAAAGTGCCCCTTTTTGGTGCTAATTCTAAAGCACAGTATTATGAAAAATAAATACTGTAAGAGTTCCATGTTGTTTATGTAGTTACTATCATTGGTTGTCTTCATTGTGATCTGGTTCTCCCTCTTCCTCTTGCAGGTTGGTACAACCGTCTCTTCATCAACTTCACATTAAGACGACATATCTTCTTCTTCTTGCTTCAGACCTATTTCCCTGCCACTCTGATGGTCATGTTGTCTTGGGTTTCTTTCTGGATAGACCGCCGTGCTGTGCCTGCAAGAGTTCCCTTAGGTAAGTCATGGAATCTATCTCTGCTTTATTTACAACAGCTACAATCTAGGACAGCGTGTATTAACAAGTAAACTCAGTTGTAATGTTTTTATTTCCTCTTCTTCCCCATAGGAAGTCTTAGCTAGCTTATAGATAAAAAGCAGATGGGAGCTGATGACAGATATATAGATGATGATGATAGATAGATAGATAGATGATAGATAGATAGATAGATAGATAGATAGATAGATAGATAGATAGATAGATAGATAGATAGATAGANATATATATATTAAAATGTTTGTATACATGTAATACATATATATATAATGTATCCCTTTAGAAGTTTAAAAACTAAATTATGCTATATTAGAAACAGACTTTAGTAAGTCAAGTATTCTTCCTATTTTATATTATTACTAATAGATGCTTTTACTACGTATTCAGATAGTTATGAGGTGCACAAGAAAAATTATGCAATTGATTAACTACTGCTCAACAAAATATGAATTGTGGGGTAGCATTTACAAAGTATTCTCTCATGTCTAATTCTTTTCAGGTGACAAGTTAATTCTCACTAACCGTCTTATCATTAGTCTAGGAAAAAATGTTCCTAGTGTGCAGTACTACTATTTTTTTTTTCTGAAAAAGCAAAGTTGTTTCAAATGGTGGGTTAATCAAATCAAATGCTAGATATAACATGATAAAATTATTTTTTGTGCATGATAGAACTGACCAACTTGGACAAAGCAATGAAGTGTAACTTTAATACATTTATATACACTACTACAATATCACAGTTGTACAAATAATTTATGATTTCTCTTCCAAGAACAACTGTAGAAGATAAAAAGAAATTCCAGCATGTCAGATATAATAGAAAAATTCAAAAAGGCAACTCATTTTAAAGAATATCCTAATCTTGTCTGACAACAAACATTAGATTGTTTAGGTGTAAAATCTTCTAACATGCAATTTATAGTTTAACATGCAAAACTCTCAAATAGTTTTACAGTTTTTAGCTACTGTCTCTTCCTCCATTGCATATGAATATGTACATCTAAGAAAGTAGGCATATTGCTTCAATCATAAATCCACATAAATTACAGTTGATGAACTTGCTACAATATTTAGAATGTTAATTCAAAAGAGTGATATTTATTTTAAGTTGCGAAAATGTTAAAAACAAATTTACTGGATCAGTTGAAAAGTGAGTAAGCACTTGGTATTTATAGAAAAAATGCTTAGATAAGTAGGTGCAATGTGAAAGTGTTTGTATACTATATATGCATATAGATATTTAGATATAGATAGATGATAGAATGACAGACGATAGATATAATATCTATGAATAGGATTTCCTTCTGAGCAGGTATTCACAGAATTGCATTGTAAGGCTTGATTTAACACTATTATAGTTTCCCTCCTTCTATTCAATCATGTCTTAATTTTTGGTGACTAGACAAATCCCCACAGTTTTCCTGGCAAGATTGTTTAGAAATAGTTTGTCATTTCATCTTTCCTAAGGCTAAGAAAAAGTGACTAAAGTCACCCAGCTGGCTTTATACCCAAGTTGGAAATAAAACTCTCAGTTTTTAACCTGATGCTTTAACCACTGCGCTAAA